GCAACCATTTACACAGATGTAATTTGCCCCCAAAAGCTTGAGATAAGACATAATCAATTGCGAAATTTGAATGACTTCCAAAAACTCCTAGGGGATATTAATTGGTTGCGCCCATACTTAAAGATACCCACCACTGAATTGACTCCACTATTTAAAACCCTAGAAGGAGACCCACAACTAACGTCACCGCGCTCCCTCACACCTGAGGCATTACAAGCCATTCGCAAAGTAGAACAGGCTTTGATGACAGCACAATTAAATAGAGTGCAATCGAATGAACCCTTTGAGTTGTGTGTCCTTCCCACCCCAGAGCTGCCAACAGCAGTCTTATGGCAGCACGGCCCACTGATCTGGATTCATCCCCAAGCCTCTCAGGCTAGGACAATAGAGTACTATCCAGCAGCCGTGGCCAAACTTGCTTTGAGAGGAGTAAAAACCTCCATGACACATTTCGGAGAGGCTCCAGCTAAAATTATAACCCCTTACAGCGTAGAACAGATACAAGTATTATGTGCTATGAACGATGATTGGGCCATACTTGCTTACAGTTTCTCAGGAACCTTTGATAATCATTTCCCTAAACATCCCCTCATCAACTTCGCCAAAAATCATCTCCTAGTATTTCCTCGGGTCACTAGCCTAACCCCGCTGCCTCATGGAAAAACAGTTTACACGGACGGGTCTAAGACAGGCACAGGTGCCTATGTCCATGATGGCAAAGTTGTGACAAAAGGCTACACGCCTGACACTCCACAAATAGTGGAATGTCGCATAGTCTTAGAGGTCCTACAAATCTTTCCTGAACCTTTAAATATTGTGTCTGACTCCTGTTATGTAGTTAATGCAGTCAAATCTCTAGAAGTGGCCGGGCTAATCAAAGCGTCCAGCCCAGTAGCCACTTTGTTCAAACAGATACAATCAGCACTACTTCATAGGCAATCTCCTTTGTATATAACTCATATCAGAGCACATTCAGGCCTTCCCGGGCCTATGACCCAAGGCAACCACCTGGCAGACCTCGCAACCAGAAATATAGCTTTTCCCCTGCTAGACCCTATCACCACAGCTTCAAAATTCCATACACAATTTCATGTCACTGCCGAAACACTGCGCAAGCGGTTTAGCATAACCAGGGCCGAAGCTAGGAACATTGTCCTTAGCTGCCAACATTGCTGCAGCTTCCTTCCCACACCTCATGTTGGGATCAACCCCAGAGGTATTAGGCCTTTACAAGTTTGGCAAATGGATGTGACGCATATTTCGTCTTTTGGGAAACTGAAATATGTACATGTATCCGTGGATACTTGTTCAGGAGTCATCTTTGCCTCCCCATTGTCAGGAGAGAAAGCTTCCCATGTCATCCAGCACTGCCTTGAAGCTTGGAGCGCATGGGGGTTACCACAGATTCTGAAAACAGACAATGGCCCAGCCTATACCTCTACAAAATTTGCTCAATTTTGTCATCACATGGGGATAAAACATATCACTGGCCTTCCCTACAACCCACAGGGTCAAGGGATTGTGGAACGCGCGAACCGCACGCTCAAATCCTATTTACTTAAACAAAAAGGGGGAATTGAAGATATACCCCCCACACCAAAAACTGCCATAGCCCTAGCACTTTTCACTATAAATTTTTTGAATCTGGATGCTCAAGGCCATACAGCAGCGGATCGCCATAATCAGTGGCCAAAAGACCCACAAGAACTAGTAAAATGGAAGGACGTGTTATCTAACCAATGGAAGGGCCCGGATCCAATCATAATCAGATCCAGGGGAGCTGTGTGTGTTTTCCCCCAGGGTGAAGAAAATCCCTTCTGGATCCCGGAGCGCCTAACGAGGAAAGTCCTAAACAAAGGAGATGACTTCGCTGTACCTCCTGACCCTGCTCCTGACACTGGAGACCCCGACTCAGGGAGTATTGAGATGGGGAATCCTGTCTGCCTTTCCTAAGCCTATGCCTGTCCGTTTCAATGCAGCCGTTTTTCCGCGCTTTTTCACTACCAATACTAGTATGAACTTGCCCTACTTAGTTAAAGACACCCTAGTAGCTCCCCTGGGAGAAAACCGATCCTTCGTAACTAATGGGTCATTATGCTTCACCACTCAGAATCTAGCTGGCTGTATCTCCCTGAAACGGAGGAAATACGGATGGTTCAGTGACATAATTCTAGAGGCCAGTAGCCTCCCCGTTATGTCAGCTAAATTTGAAGGGCCTAATAAGGAAGGGAGCCCGTCCTATAAGAACATGACTATCCACCAGATGGTTCTCTGGATCAATGGCACATTTGTACACTCTCCCAGGAACAATTCCACCGACAGGCCTCGTCAACCCAAATATGCCTCCCATTGTGTGGGCGACTATGAGGGAGAGCTGTGGCCCTGGACTGACTGTCAGTCAACTGTAGTAACGTGGGCAACTGAGAGGCAGGAGTTTACCATCTCCCCAGATATGGAGGGACGGCCAGCCAATGAGGCTTGGTGGCCAGTAAAGGTGCTCGAAGGCGAGTTTCGTCAGCAGCTGAGCATGAACCCCTTCCATAAATGGATGCTGTGTGGAGTCAATGGCTCGTGTACCGACCTCTCCCCCTTTTCCGCCCTCCAGGGTGGGGGAATCGGTGTAAAAAATATCACCTTTTGGTGCGAGAATAACCACATGCGCGCACACTGGAACATGATCATGACCCATAACAACGAGAACTACACGTGTTCAGCAAAATCAGGTCCAGAGTCACCTAATTCCCTTTTTCCACCTTCTCCAGTATGCGTATACCCCCCATTTCTGTTTATCTTATCCAATAGTAGCTTTGACTCCTGCTCCAATGAAACCTGCTTTCTGTCTCAGTGTTGGGATGCGCGTAACTTTACCAATGCTTTGGTAGTCCGCATCCCCCGTTGGGTCCCTGTTCCCGTAGACGCCCCTAACACCATGACTCTGTTTCGAGAAAGGCGCGATTTCGGTGTTACAGCCGCCATAGTGCTCCTGATCTCCGCGACCGCGGTCGCAGCCACCGCCGCTGGTATAGCTTTAGACACCTCCATCAAATCGGCTACAGAGCTCAATAACCTTGCAGCCTCAGTAGCTTCTGCCCTGGACCAACAGTCCACACTTGATGGCAAACTGAAAGGAGGAATAATGATCCTCAATCAACGCATAGATCTCGTGGAGGAACAAATGGAGGTGCTCTGGCAAATGGCCCAATTGGGATGTGAGCGGAAATATCGTGCCCTCTGCATCACTAGCATTCAATATAAAAATTTTACACGGGCAGCTAATCTGTCACGAGACCTGTCCCAGTATCTTTCAGGAAACTGGTCCCAAGACTTCGATGGGACACTAGAAGAGCTGCGGCGAGAAATTATCCACATCAACTCCACCCGTCTAGATATCTCCGTAGCGGAAGGACTCTCTTCCTGGTTCCTCAGAGCTCTCTCCCACGTCAAGGAGTGGGCGGGCATGGCTGGGATGGGCGTGTTCCTGCTTGGAGGTCTCATGCTCTTACTCTGGTTGTTATGCAGACTCCGCAACCAACATAAGCAGGACAAGGTGATCCTTGCTCAAGCCCTAATGGCGATAGACGTTGGCGCCTCTCCCCAAGTGTGGCTCAACATGCTTAAGAAGGAAGCTCGGCTTTAGCTTGAGGTAGCTCTTGCACCCTGAGCCCATGTGGCACTGCACCAGGCCCGAGTACCTCAATGCTTAATCACAGCTTTCTTTAAGAAGCTCATGGTGCAAGAGGGTTGAGAAAAAGGGTCCAAACCCTTTGTACCAAGCGGTCCCAACGCCAGCCAGAGGATGCGAGGCAAAGCACTGCAAGAGGTCTTGGACCCCTCTGAGAGGCATGCCTGACTGCATAGGGGTAGATGCCCAGAACCCCTCTCCAAAAAGGGGGCATCAGGAAGTATGATGGAGGTCAGGCCTCTGTCTCCGCCTCTGCTGGCAAGTTCCGCCTTGAGCTTCTGTTAGACAAAAAAGGGGGAGATGTTGGCAGCCGCGCTCAGAAAATAGCGCCCAATGCAGGGCAGCCGGAAGGCCCCGAACTTCCTAATGACAAATCATCCCACACCACTAAACTACATGCTAATTGCGCCTTGGCATAAGGACCAATGAGACCCACCAAATGGTTATGCTAATAAGGCATATGGAGCCGCACCAACCAGGTCAGAGCATGAGAACTATATAAGCAAGCCTCTCCTTCCCCTCTGGGTCCTGCCCAACTCATTTGTTTCACAAAGAGCTGAAGAATAAAGCTTTCTGCAGAAGAATCCTGCTGTTGTTGCATGCTGTTCTTGCCGGCGAGGACAGGGCACGCGACATCTGCAATTCTGCACAGAGTATTTTATTACAATTTCACATCACCCTGAGCATTTTCCAGCTATAAAATGTTAAAGGACAGATTTCAAAAAAAAAGTAAAATCATGGCTCTCATGCATATAGAAGATGAACACATGTAAATGATTTACTTAATTCATCATTCAATGAACAAACTGGAAATTGTCATAATTGGTTCAAAAGAGAAGTCAGAAGTACCACAGTTTTATATGGAGTAAAGAAATACTGAAATGAATGTACAAAGGGACATAAAACTGGCATTTTTCATGAGGGTGGGGGGCTTTCAGGAGTGTGGGGAAGTGAACTTAAACCACTGTACCACAATTCCACCACAGAATTTATTTGCATGACACTAGGTAAGAATTATTTTGCATTGCTATCATGTATCTACAAGTTCAGTTTCAAAATATCTCAAAGTCAATAAAATCTAGAATCACATTAAAGCAAAGGGTGTACTCTGCAGTTTTCCATTAGAGCCATCTAATAATATAATCTCGTTTGCTTATTCTAAATTTCCTTAGTAAATTTCCAAAACAAAAAGTAAATAAAAGTAAGTAATGTTACTTAGCAAACTATCAAACATGAGGATATTTTCAAACAGGCAAATAAGATATCTTTAAACAGGCAAATCTCAAAATCTTTGCTTTCTTTTCCTCTTTTTTTCCAGGAAGCTTCTGGAGCATGTGTGTTACTAAAAGAAGGGAATGAACCGAGAAAGGGGAGAATCTGAGTGTGGAAACAAGGTTCCCAGCAAAGGAAAGAGGCAAGGTGAACTTCTACAGTGATAATGAAGAAATGTCTTATGCTGACAAAATTCAGCTGTTCTGGAGATCAATCATTCTATGTAGAAACAGAAGGCTGGAAAGATCCACAGATGTCTATATTAAAAAAAAAAAAAAGAACCACTGGAATACTTCAGGTGCTTGACAAAATTGGTCAGAAGAAAACTGGAGAAGTCTAAGAAAAGTTTATAGCATATATATAAATGCACTCACACATACACAAAAAGAAAACAAAATGAATAAGTCGTCAATATTTAACTCCAGCAAAAACAAAACATGCAAAAAAAAAGAAAGATAAGCAAAGTATTGATAATGCATTGTCATTATATTATAAAAACTGAATAATTACTTAATACAAAACTGTGATTAAAATATGCAGGGAGGGAGAAGAGTGTGGGTGTGTGTAGGGGTGGTGAAAGGATAGTAAGTCTTTATCTTCTGTAGTAGGAAGCGAGTAGATATTATTTAAACTTACTTAATCAATATATAGCACCATAAGCTTATTACTAAAAATGAGGAGTTAAATATAAGAGGAGAAAGAGCGAACTGAATGGGAAGTTGCCTCTGCCTTTGGGGAATCTAATTCTGGGGCTGAATATTGTTTTTTGTTGCTGTTGTTTTGCTATTTGTTTGTTATTATAAACTTTGTAATATTGGATGACCTTTGAAACCATGTCTGGGTATTTTTTGATTGTCCAAAATATTTTTACAGCCAAAAGAATTTGTGATACAAAACCTATTTGCATTAAAGGTTTTCTTAATCTTTCCAGAATAGGTTGCCATTAGACAAAAAAGACGTTAGTCACCTACTAGTTATTAATCACTATTTTTCCTTAATTCAACTACTTAAAAAATTCAAATGGCTAAATATATCATGGCATATGCTTTTATTATATTATTTAGAAAGCATTTCTATCAGAGTAAAACATTTTCTATTATAAGGGAGGAAAAAACATTTTCCTTCTACCTTTCTACGTTCTTGGTTGTGGCTCTAACAAAAGACAAATGAACAAGAGAAAAGCATACAAATTTATTTAAAGGAGTTTTATGTGACACAAGAGCCTTCATAAGGCAATAAAGACCCCAAGAACCAATTAAACCTGAGTGTTTTTATATCCTAGGTTTGATGAAGAGTGGAAGTCATGGGCAAGTGTGATAGGACAGAAGTGTGTGAGCTGAGAGTAGTAAACTGGGGGAAGCTTAGCAAGACCTGTTCAGAATCTTCTCAAAATCCCACTGTCTTTGAGGATTAAGGATGCTCTTGTTCTCTGGGTATAAAGAGAGAACTGCTTTAATGAGGGTCGTATGACCTGATTTCAGGGGAGAAGGGAAGATCTGAGAGTCCTTCCTGTACCTGCCAATTCTCAATTTCCTACAGCTTAAAATATATACCCTATATGCCAAGGTGCTGTATTTGGAGGTAGTCTGTTCTGAACCCTTTTGCTATCATAAATTAAATGTATTAACTCTTTTGAAATATTGTGCCTAAGAATCTTTATATAGAATCAGATAATTCTGTAATTTTATTTTACTCTTTTACATGAATTTTCTATTACATCCTCTTAATAACCATCAAAGGAAACAACCCTAAATTAATACTGTAAAAGCTAATGAATTATTTAGACATATCCTTTAGAGATATTTAAATATAGTCTCTCATGTAATTTCTTTCTCCTAAGCAGGGTACAAGTGTTAATATTTAGTGTCTACATCTTGGTTTCAATTTCTTTAAATCATCTTTGCATAAGTAACGCATTTTTAAAAAAGTAGTTGCATAGAAAACAGTCTAGAGGAATACAGAACAAAAGGCTAACTGTGGGTATCTAGGAAATGGAATTGAGGAGGATTTTGTAAAATGTTTTACAGTCTTCGTGTGTTATTTTTATGATCAGAATGTATTTGTGTGTTTGTATGTGAATGGGTATATGTATATATGAAAAATAAAATAAGAAGTTGTGCATAGCAGTTTTCTTTGGTCGTTCTCTTGATCACAGAGGGGTTTCATGAGCACAAACCTGAAAGGATTTCCCATTGAACTGCACATGACATTCTACGATCTGGTTTAAGTATTCTGAACTGAGGTGACTAAAGGCAACTGTCCTGGTCTAGATAGTTAGCTCCAAACTGGGGTCAGCGTGTTAATGGTGGAGCCAGGAATGCTCAAGCTAGGCTAATGGGTGATTACTTGTCAGTTCACAATCAGCCATGGTCAGTACAAATGCAAGCATAGGTACAAATGCAGTACAAATGCAAGAAATGAACTTTACAGATTAAAAAAGAGAAAGAAATTATAATAATTTATTATTAACTAATAAATGGAATGCATTTCAATCAAGTTTTTTTTTCTTCTTCTTTCCTTGTTAGGCAATTTATATTGACCAGAAAATACAAGTAATGGACTTTCATCTTTTTGCTATTGCCCTTTGAGTGGGAAGCACCTTTCTTCTTTCACAGTCATCCTTCTTCCCTGAGAAGACCTAGATGGGACTAGTTTTTTGTTCTTTAATTTCTAGAACAACAAAAGGATTCTTGGTCTCATATTCTCCAGTTTTTATATTATTATTCTAGTCCTTAGCATGCATTGTTAGACAGAGACTCTGTGGAGCTTCTGTAGGTAATTCATGGCAGAATTAGGACTAGAACTGTTTGATAGTCTTTGCTCTGCACCTGCCTCAGATGGCACGGTGCTATAGACTGGATGTCTGTGTCTCCCCTAAATTCATGTATTGGAACCTAATCCACGAGGTGCTGGAGTTTGGAAGTAGGGCCTTTGGAATGATGATTAGGTCATGAAGGTGGTGCACTCCTCAATAGGATTAGTGCCCTTAGAAAAGAGACCTCACGGAGCAATCTTGCCCCTTCCGCTGTAGGGGGACACACTGAGAAGACAGCCATCTATGAACCAGGAAGCAGGCCCTCACCAGGCATTAGACCTTCCTGCACTTCGATCTTGGACTTTGTGGCCTCCAGACTTAGAAATCAATGTTTGTGTTTAAGCCATCCAGTCGAAGGTATTTTTTTTTAGCAGCTTGAGAGGACTAAGACATAAAGGGAATAAACAAATCTTCTGGACAACTTTGACTCTTGACCCACTTCCAGGCCACTGGCAAGTCTTCCTAATTCTCAACCCAAAATGTCTCTAATGGGCCTGCTTCTCTCCATCTTCAGCACCATCACCCTCATTCTGGCCGTCAGGAAAGATGTCTGACAAGAGCCACAAGCTGATTTTTGCTCTTGCTTACTCCTGCTTTTGGAAAGTCAGGTTTGTTGAGGTACAATTTACATACATACAGTAAAATTCACTCCTGTACGTAGACAATCTATGAATTTTAATAAATGCACACTGTTGTGTTAACCCACACCACAGTCAAGATATAGAACAATTCCATCACTCCCAAAAGTTCCCCTGAGCCCCTCTGTAGGCAAACCTTTCTCCACCTACAGCCCCTAGCCACGGATTTGTTTTCTGTCTCTAACACCTTTCTCACAGCATCATAAGTGGAATCATACGGTACACAGCCTTTTGAGTTTGGTTTCTTTCATTTAGCAAAAGGCTTTTGAAATTGATTCATATTGTTGCACGTATTGGTAGTTCATTCCTTTTTATTGCTAAGTGGTATTCCAGCAATATAACTCTTCATCCACCAGTTGGTAGACATTTAGGTTGTTTCCAGTTTTTGGTGATTATGATTAAAGCTATTTATAAACATTTGTATTCGGGTTTGTTAGATTTTTGGTGGGGAGACATATGTATCCATTTCTGTTGGTTAAATATGTAGGAGTGAGATTGCTGGGTAACATGGTAAATGCATGTTAAATGTTCTAAGAAAATGATTCCCTGTTTCCCAAAGTGGCTGTACCGTTTTGCATTCCCACCACTTAAATTCCAGTTGCTTCACATCGTCCTGAGCACTTGGGATTATCAAATTTTAAAATTTGAGCCATTCTGATTTTAATTTGCATTTCCCTCAGGACTAATGAGGTCGCATCTGTTTATGTCCTTAGGTGCTATCCGTATTTTTTCTTTGGTGAAGTGCCTGAATTTGTTGCCCATCTAAAAAAATTGAATTGTTTTTAAGTTGTATTATTATTATTTTAAATTTAAAATTCTGAATAGCTAATACATTCACATGGTTGAAAAACCAAAAGTTTTAAAAAGTCATTCATTAAGAAGTGCTATCTCTGTCTCCATTAACTCAACTGTGCAGCCTCAGTTAGGAAAACACTCTCATTAATTTGATTTCTTTCAGCAATTCTTTATGTAAATACAAATAGATATTCCTATCTTCTCTCTGTTCTTACACCAGAAATAACAAAATATGTACAATGTTCAAAAGCCATATAGCCTGCAGAACATCCCCAGAAAGTTTTTTTTTTGTATCATTAATCTATAATTACATGAGCAATATTATGGTTGCTAGACTCCCCCCATCATCAAGTCTCTACCACATACCCCATTACAGTCACTGTGTCCATCAGCGTAGTAAGATGCTATAGAGTCACTACTTGTCTTCTCTGTGTTGTAGGAAGTATTTTTTTTACAGTTAAATATGATTCTATTATGGGGATAAAGCTTATTTAACGAATCCCCTGTTGACGGACACATGAGTTGTTTCCAGTTATTTCTTGGCAAACAACACGACATGAATGACTTTGTACACAGGCCCTTTGGTGTGTGTGCATTTGTATCTGCAGGATGTCTTTCAAAAATAATTTTCAGATTACTATTTCTTAAAGTATGACCTTTCCAAACTCCTATGTAAATTTCCTCCCCTGGAGAAGCTTGTGTAAACCCTATTTATAAAAAAGAAAACGTGTGGTGGGGGGAGTGGGAGGAGAGGGTGTGTGGTGGGGGAGGGGGTGGCTGTGTGGGAATGGAGTGGGTGTGTGGGGATGGGTGGCTTGTGGGGAGGCCACACATTGGGAGCCCTTCAAAATTTAGGCTCTACCTGCTAAGATAGTGTAGGAAGGGGGCTGAGAGGAGCTGTCCAGACCCACAGAATTCTCTTGTGTTTGTGACATTAACCCCGCTCCAAGCCTTCCCGTTTCTGCTTCCTTTCTATTTATTTTACAGCGGATATCCGTGCTTCTCTCTGTGTCTCTTGCTCCTGATCTCTGTCTGACTAAAGCATGACTTTTTTCTGATCTGTTTCAGTCTCACCAGCGAGTTATGGAGTTTGCTCATCTTAAGTTTTTCTTTTGATCATCATTCACCCTCAGTTAATTTGCTCAAGTTAAGAGCAAAATCTCAGGAGGAGATTTGCAAGAAGGATAGCATTTAGCTTTACCAAATGAAGTGTTTCTGAATTTGATCATTCACTTCTCACTCAAGGGGAAGTTTAGGATGCAGTGAAATCTCTTTGATATTTAACAATCTCACTGATGGTATCAGTTACTTATGTCTCAAAGGGCCACACTGACTTTAAGGGCTAATTATTCCTTTAAACCATATTCATATGCTAAAAACAGAAGTTGAAGGTAGAACACCACCACTAACCTGCCTGCCTTCCAGTTAGTCCTCACATCTTACCTTTAGTGTTAAAGAGACCTGTTCATTTTGGCTTTCTGGTACCTGCGCCCAGATACTGTGGTGGCCTGTGAGCGGGCTGTTAGGAAGAGGTGACAGCAAATGTGAAGTCAGAGAGCTTTGCCCAGGCTTGTACCACTAGCTAAGCTCTCCTGCGCCAGTTCTTTTTGGAACAAAGTGCTGCAAATAGAGACCATAGTGTTTTTCTTCCTACATTGTTTATTTCAAGAGACTTGGGAGCCATCACGAAGAAGATTCATAGGCTTGAAATGTAAACCCTGCAACTATGCTTTGTTTAAGTTAATGAAGATGTGATTTTGGAGTTTTTTTCTTCCCTGGTCTCACCTCTGCCCCAAGAAAAGCGCAGACTCTGAAATTTATGGGGATTCTGACCTAAGAGGCCAGGAAGTGCATGAGACTGGGGAAGGTTGGTGGCAGGGAGACCGGCCCCTGATGAGGTGCGTTTCCCAGAAAATAATATTACGCGGCTCTAGTTTCCACAGCGTTGTTTTTAAACACTCAGGGATTTGTTACTCCTTTTGAAATGGTCTCCAGCATGTGGAAGATACTAGATGTCACTTAAGTGACTTCCCTTCCCTTCCAAGTCTTAAGGCTGATAACATGTCATTTTATCTGGAAAAAAAATCTTGAAGCAATTAGAAAATCCCTAGTCTTAAAATTGTAGGTACTCACTGTGCATGCATAGTCCAAACAAAGGTTTAGGGAACAATGATCACTTTTAGATTGAAACACTCTGAAAAATTTTATTTCGAAAAGACCAATGTCTGCCAATTCTATTAAGCTAACAGGGACAAGGCTGAAAGAGGCCTTAGAGGAAGTCATGAAAGTTCCAGATTAAAAATATTTTTTAAATGGTCTCATTGAGAAATTTTTCAAATGAGAGTCACACTTGAATGAATGCATGCTGTATCAAATTATCCGGAGACAAAGAAGAGAAGCCATTGTACCAGAACAAATGCAGCCTGCTTTGTTTAGAGGACGAATCATTCTTGCAGCTAGTTTGGAAATGTCACTTTTAAGTCAATGAGAGTTGTGTTCAAATAAGAGGGGGATGCAAGACCCTATTATATTCGCTAGGATGTGATGTTTTTGCCTCTGAATGGTTTCTACAGTGCATGAAAATTCCTTTTTTTTGTGTGTGGGGGGGATGTCTTTTTAATGTCTTAAACTGTTTTCAGGTTTTACAAAGTGCTTCAGTTTTGACATTGAAAGGGCAGACATGATTATATTGGAGCACCAGTTGTCCAGATACAGAAGTTCTGACGTTTTGGACAAGACTTTTGAACTCTTAACTTGGTAACAACAGATTTATTGGCTCCCATTCATTGGAAGTGAGCCAGGTCTCAGAGTGGTCCAGCCCAGCCATTCTTTCTGCCTTTCCATGCTATCACCACTGGAGTTTTGGCCATAACCC